TTCTGCACATCCTGAGTGCCTCAGCTGGACTTTATAATCTTTGCTCTTGTCATGATTCTTGGTAAATGTACATAATATTAAACAATAGTTTTACAAGTTTTTTTTTTAAAACCTCAACTCTGTGAATGTTAAAATTGTTCTGATATGTACTTGTTTGCAATTAATTTCCTTTTATGTCGTCATAGTTAATACACGAAGAACGCACACACATACATATGGACTTTTTCTAAATATACATTTACTGTCTTAACTATATCGGCATATCTTCTGGTATCTGCTCTGTCACAAGCACTCGTAATCCTGTCTGGTATCTGATAATTTCCTTCTGTTCGTATTTAGATAAGGACACCCACAATATACCGACGAATTATTTGCTGGTCATATTTCGCAGTATCTCCTTTATCAGGCGCATACTGCAGAATCCCCATCAAGATATAATGAAGCGCAAAAATAAATCATGTCCCCGTGTCTATTTTTGCCAGGTGCATCGCATTGTGGAAGTCTTAAAGAGATGATCCTGTTTCCATAACACAGAATAACTCATCACTTTTCCAAACACCTCGGCCAAAGTAAAAATGTTAATGCAATTTATTTTGGTCCGTAGGTGACATTTACTGGCCTGATGCTGTTTCGTGGTTAGTTTCCTTTGATGTTTGTGTCTTCTAGAATCAATTTTTGTTGTTGTTGTTGCTCTGTCAACATAAAAAGCTGAAAAGAAGAAGATGACAAAGCTCAGGCGCAACAGATGTGTCCAAACTGATGTCGATACACAAATATCGAAGACATAACAAATGATGCTGAAAGTAGACCAATTGGAAGAAAGAGCACAGGAAGAAATGAGGCAGACAAGAATGCGGCTTGAGTGGCTGAATGACAATAAGGGTAGTAAGATTTAAGGTGTATCCAGCTAGTAATCTTGATAAAATCTACATATCAAAAGGAGTTCACGGTTACCACGAATCACAGCAAATATTATAAGAAAAGCAGACGACACAAGGGAAACAATTTTAATTAAAAAACAAATAATAATCTTTAACGTCTTATTTAATGTAATTGCTTGCTACATAATTTAAATGTGAAATAACTTTACAACAAATACATAAATTAGATTGCTCTGAAATTGTGCACCGCATTACCGTAATTCAGGAAGAAATCAACACGTTAGTAGAACTGCATCCTTCACTAGTTAATGTATTAGTAGTCCAAGTCCAAGTCCTTTTGAGAAAAAAATGAAAAGGTCGACCACTTTCATAATGTTTCTATCGTCCTTTTCAGGATAACATTTTGTATTTGAAGCTCCGCCCCTGAAATATGTATTAGCTCAATCCGTAGCTCAGCAATGTCTTACAGAGCAGGTCAGAAGTGCCAACGTCAACACTCAGCCAAACAACTCTCCTGAGGGAACTACGATGGCCGCATTCGACTCCATCTGCCGGTAAACCTAAACATCTGATTTTCACTCTATTTTCTTTTTTTTTTTTTACGAAAGGGGGAGTGGCGCAAAAGGGTTTCAATTGGAGATGGGGGGGGGGGCGGGGGCGCATCAAGCAATTTTAACAGCGAGTTTATTAGTCCTTGTCATAATCACTTTAAAACAACTGAATAAATTATAGAGTTGGACAGACATAACTACAGAAATTGAATTTCTAAGAGCCTGCATTTTCCCCATTGCAACATACGCCTGTGAGACCTGGACACTTACTAAACAAGCTGAACAGCGCATAAATACCTTCGAATACAAATGTTAAAGACGGGTTATAAGAATATCATAAGTACATTTTTTTTAAATGCATCCATACTGACTGACTGACTTTCTACCCCACCAGGACATCACACAAGCGATAAACACCCGATGACACAAAGTGCCACCGTGCGGGTGAGGATCGCCGTGAAGAGGTCCCAGAAACCGCGTTCAGACATTTGGCCATATGTATGGCCTGCCTATATTGCGGCCCCTGGCAAAAGCCAGAGTAGGGCTTCAAATTACAAAAAATTTCGTCCTAAAAAGGACGAAACTGGATATAATGCAAAATGCATCCATCCTTCAAGAACTGGATATTGAAGAAGGCTGGCCATTAAAGACGATAAAACACAGAAAATTTAAATATTTTGGTCACTTGAAACGTCACGAAAATTTGAAGAGAACACTAATAGAGGGACATATGCCTGGGAAGAGAGGAAGAGAAAGACCAAAGAGAAGGTGGGTGCAGGATGTGGTGGATGATTTCCAGATGAACCCAAGATCGTTTGGACGACAGGCAAGCGTCTACCACATCTCCCAATAATTCAGGAGAAGTAATTTTGTGTGTGTGTATGCGGGTATGTGTGTGTGTATGTGTATGTGTGTGTGTGTGTGTGGGGGGGGGGGGATAATGAGGAGCCATGAGATGGTGGTTACTGGATTCGCCTGTGCCAAGAATATGGTCTTGGTTCAACTTCATGCTGAGATGAAAACCCCCATTGCCCCCCCCCCGCCCCCCCTCCCCCGACCGCTTTTCCCAGCTCTGGGGTCGACTTAACCAAATAAAAGTAACCATTAGATAATTTTCACGATTTTCTGGGAATTGCCTTGAAAATCAAATGCTATAAGGATGGGAATTGGGCACTTCATCTCATATGTTGTGGTGAGGAATACATGTATACTTATAAAGCGATGATTGCAAGCTAAGCAAAAAAAAAAAAAAAAATTCGGATGCCCAAAATAGAGTATTCCAAGTGTTTTTAAAGTTGATTTCATACACTGTCGTTTTTTGCGGCTATGATAGGATCAGAGACCATCTGTTAGACAGCGGGGGCATTCTTGGCAGTGTTTGGCTAGGGTGTGTTGCTTTTGACATGATAATGTCAGCAACACTCTATAGGAATAAACTCCACAGGGGAGCAAGTACAGCAGGAATCTACCAGTCATCAGTAGAAGTTATCCCTCGTCGACAAACGTTTCGGCCCACGACCTCCTAGACGTTTTCAGAGAGTGGGCCCACACCTGAGTTCATGAAGCTCAGGGCTGGTTCCCTGCTGCACGAAATTACCGGATGATGTTTTCTTTTCGAATAGGGACAAGACGACTTGGTGATTTGCAGAGGGCACACTGAGATAAGAAGCCGCCACGGTAGCATAATTAGAGCAGTCTGCATACCTGGACGACCAAGCGACAAGCTTACGATTGGTATACCGGACACATGTTAGACTTTTGTTAGCAGGTGGCAGAGAAACACTGGCAGACAATTCGGACACGATGGACTTACAAGGGATGAGAAACCCTTTTCCACTAGAGTAAATCGTTTGACGTGGAGGAACAGTGTCAGCTGGCACGGCAACAACTGAGTAAAGTTTAAAGTTAGCTGCGTATTCTTTACAGTAGATTGCAGAAACAACCCCAGCAATTTTTTAGCTAACAGATGAGCACGAGTAGATTTTTCGTGATTGTCACGTACCATGGTACTTGTGAACATGTTCCTCCTCTGAGTACTTGATCACTGATCGTCTCTCCCCCCCCCCCCCCCCCCCCAAAAAAAAAACGTTTTCATCCGTCGACCTCTGTTTCTAAAAACCACGACCTTCCTTGTCACAGCCGTGGCAAGATCATCTCGTCTCTTAATGTGAAGATAATTAAATATTGTTTAGTTCTTGTGCAGATAATTACTTGTGTTTGTGAACTAGCCTATTGCGGACTGAGATCTTCCTAACCGTCTATGGGGTCTTTAAAGCACTTTTATGTAGAGACCACATCTCTCTGGCTTCCAGTTTCTCCACTCCTGTGTTTATAGTTCAGTGTCCACAGTTGACATTTATACACAAGGATTGGTAGTGTGCAATACCCCAACATTGAATCATGGGATGTTTTCACGGACTGCACCCTTCGGTGCACGGGTGCCTTTTTTACGGAAATCCCCGGAGATCATCACTGGAGATACGGACTTTATCCTCTGTATGACGCTCACAGCTGACGGCAGGCGTTCTGCAGTAAGGAACTGACCTATAGGAGATAAAGTAGTAGGACAAACAAACACTGATGCAGAAGAAAGAAGCAGAGACAGCAAAATACACTAGACAGGATCAACAGCGGAAGCTATGGTTATCACTCCAAGTACTGAATCTGCCCCCCACCACCCCCACCCCCGCTCATCCAGATGCCCACCCCTCACTGCAGTAACAAGTGTACTGTGGTGCACGGCGAGCTAGAAGTTTTTAAAAAGGTTTTATTGTGAGCAAGCTCTCTTTTGTTTATCATTATATTTAAAAAAAAAAAAAAACGAAACCTTGGGGTTATTAAATAAATTTACATACTGGATAAAACCAGATGCAATAAACGTGATCCTCTGGGCTTTAAATCATTGAAGATTGTAAACTTAAAACTGCTTTTCTGTACTTACAAGGACGAGAGAGTGGCAATAAAGGAAAAAAAGGGGGGGGGGGGGAAGAAGGGATGGTACATTAAACAGACTGTTTTCTGTTGGAACAAAGGTTGCCTGTGCTTGGTTATCCAATAGGTATGATATGAGGGGGGGGGGGTTGGGGGGGGGGGGTGGTACATTAAACAGACTGTTTTCTGTTGGAACAAAGGTTGCCTGTGCTTGGTTATCCAATAGGTATGATATGAGGGGGGGGGGGGGGGGGTGTGGTACATTAAACCGACTGTTTTCTGTTGGAACAAAGGTTGCCTGTGCTTGGTTATCCAATAGGTATGATATGAGGGGGGGGGGGGGTGGTACATTAAACAGACTGTTTTCTGTTGGAACAAAGGTTGCCTGTGCTTGGTTATCCAATAGGTATGATATGAGGTGGGGGGGGGGGGGGTCGGTACATTAAACAGACTGTTTTCTGTTCGAACAAAGGTTGCCTGTGCTTGGTTATCCAATAGGTATGATATCCAAGTGTTGTCTACATGCACATCTTTTTTGTTTTGCTGAAATTTACACATTTTGCCGATTTGTCTTGTCGTGCATGTTGTTCACCAACTGGTTTTTTCCTCTAAGACTGGCAATTTTAAACGATTTCAGACTTGCGCCGGAACATCCGTTGTCTATTGAGCACTCCAGCAATTCAAGCGTGTTACAACACCTTCAACCAGGGGGTCAACCAAGTGGTCAACCTACAGACGCAGAACCGTGCCCCACGGGAGACCCTGCAAACTTTAGCCTGCAAGTATGTATCTGTGTGACAGTCGCCCTGACCCTGCAAGTATGTATCTGTTTGACAGTCACCCTGAACCTGCAAGTGTGAATCTGTGTGACAGTCGCCCTGAACCTAAAGGTGTGTATCTGTGTGACAGTCGCCCTGAACCTGCAAGTATGAATCTGTGTGACAATCGCCCTGAACCTGCAAGTGTGTATCTGTGTGACAGTCGCCTTCAACCTGCAAGTATGTATCTGTTTGACAGTCGCCCTGACCCTACAAGTATGTATCTGTGTGACAGTCGCCTTGTCATTGCAAGTATGTATCTGTGTGACAGTCGCCTGATCATGCAAGTATGTAACTGTGTGACAGTCGCCCTGACCATGCAAGTATGTATCTGCGTGACAGTCGCCCTGTCATTGCAAGTATGTATCTGTGTGACAGTCGCCTGATCATGCAAGTATGTATCTGTGTGACAGTCGCCCTGTACCTGCAAGTATGTATCTGTGTGACAGTCACCCTGACCCTACAAGTATGTATCTGCGTGACAGTCGCCCTGTCATTGCAAGTATGTATCTGTGTGACAGTCGCCTGATCATGCAAGTATGTATCTGTGTGACAGTCGCCCTGACCCTACAAGTATGTATCTGCGTGACAGTCGCCCTGTCATTGCAAGTATGTATCTGTGTGACAGTCGCCTGATCATGCAAGTATGTATCTGTGTGACAGTCGCCCTGACCATGCAAGTATGTATCTGCGTGACAGTCGCCCTGTCATTGCAAGTATGTATCTGTGTGACAGTCGCCTGATCATGAGGGAAAGCTAACAGATACATTTGAAATAAAAACAAATGTGCCTCCAAATTGTTGCCTCTCTTATTTTTACTGGCTATAGACTGGATTATGAAAACAGTGGGGTTGTGAAGGTGGGGGGGGGGGGGGGTATGGTAAATTAAAAAAATTAGCTAAAAGAAAGCATGGTTTTACCTGAGACAACAAATGTGGTCGTTTAGTTATATTTGAGACAACATGTGAGTGGGTTTAATTATATTTGAGACAAGAGGTTAGGTGGTTTAGTCACATTTGAGACAACATGTGAGTGGGTTTAGTTATATTTGAGACAAGAGGTTGAGTGGTTTAGTTATATCTGAGACAACAGGTTATGCAAGTTACGTTATGTTTAATATGTAAGGAGACAACAGGTTATGTGAGTTAGTTATATTTAATACGTCAGTTGAGATGGTTTAGTTATATGTGAGACTTCTAGTAAGATTGTTTTGTTATATTTGTGTTAACAAGTGAGGTTATATGCACATTTAGAAACTGGAAACAACTATTGATTGTTTAGAATTTGACTTACTTAACTCACTGTAATGTGATCAGTATGATTCTTTAGCTGAAGTCTTAGATGTTGTATCCACTGTGTTATCTCTTGTATCCACTGTATGTTATCTCACATGTGGTAAAACGGAAGGTCTGGGGTCTGAAACATTTACTGTGAAGTGAAACTCTGAAAACACAATTGTAGAATCCTTACTAGTGGCAGTTTTAACGCACCAGGCAACAAGGAGAAAATGTGACACTTTAGACATGCCTTGGGTCGAATCCCCAAGAGGCAGATTTGTTTTAATGACCACGGCTCTCTGCCAGCTTTTGACCCTTAAATAGGTATAAGGAAATGTCATGGAAAGCATGTTGCCTTTACATCATACATAGAGTGCCACATATTGGTCTATAATGTCTGGATCCAGCACCATGTGCCCTATACGCCACAATGGTCAAGTCCTGGTGCTGTTGACTGGAACACACAAACTGATTTAGTAAACGAGCATGTACAATAACAATTGCCCACTTTGTCCTGCCATTCCCCAGTGTGTCGGTGGCCAGATACCAGTGTGAGACTGACATCTATTCTCGCTGTGATGCCAGGACTGGCCAGATCATGCAGGACTTTTTCTTTGCTGCTGTACCAGGGGACTGTCGACGAGCTACAGGGGTCAGGTCCCGGTACGTGGACATTTTCAACGCAGGTAGTGTTAGTGGTGGGAAAACCAGCTCAATCGTCAACTTCATGATACTGACTATCTTGGCATTCGTGTGGAAGATATGAACCAACTTATTTTTTTCCTTTAGCTACAGAAGTATTTTCTTCATTGTTTTATGTGCATCAGTAACTTTCATTTTGTACATGTAAAGCTGCGAATTAGTTTTTGTTCCATTGTGCCAACAGCTATGCTGTGCTGCTAGGCTTCACAGTTCATCAGATCACAGCCATCAATAAAGAACAAATGAATGCAATTAGTTTCCAAGTTGGAAATGAATAAATACAAGTATAAATATCGAAACATTTCACTTAAAAAATATGAATTTTGTTATTCTTCTTCTTTCGTTGGCTTGAAATAGATTTTCTATATCTGCAATGTTGTCTCTAGTAAGAGCTTCACTGTCTGTTGTATGTTATTATGATATGAAAAGACTAGCGGTGCCTGCCACGCTTTGCTGTTTCCCATTCTAGCAAAATGAAAAAAAAAAAAAAATAGAAAACACAGGTGTCTAATATCACAATTGTTGTCTGCACAGATGTACAGACAGTCTGATTTGCCAACTTTAGAACACGCAGCATTAAGTGTCTTTATAGTAGTGGTGGTTTAAATTGTGTTACTAGGACTTAAAAATAGATTTTATTCTATACCACATGCTAAAAAAAAACAACATAAGAATAGCAGAGGAAGCGTTATTAAAGTATAAATAATTTAAAAAATGATTCCTTCAAAATCATGTTTTAAGCTAAATTAAAATCTTGTTTCAAGCTGTGTCAGTTAACAATGACTGTCATCACTCCCCAACCATCGACTACTCTCTCCTTCTTCGAAGGATTTGAAATTTATCAACTGATAAGCAGGTCCAAGCAGAATAAAACAAACTTTAAGCTCTCTCAGTTTCTGTCATCACCCCTACCCTCCCCTCTTCCTCCCAAATGCACCAACTACTTCTCTCTCCTTCACCGAAGAAATGCCCACATCATAACATTTTCATACACTCTGTCAACTCTGTGTGCATGTGTCTGAGTGTGTGAGAGAGAAGGAGAGAGAGAGAGAGATACTGAAGTGTAATCCTAACCTTCATTTTGCCAGGTGTGCAAACCTCCTCCCCCACCCATATTGCATACTACAAGCACACACACACACATACATTTACATATACTCTCACAAAGTTCACACATACATACAGACTAATGTACACATAGCTTTACAGACTTAACACCCAGTTGACACACACACAATTATACCACTGTAACAGTCCTACAGAACAAATTCAGAATGCACAAAGGTTAAATTAATATTTAATTTCATGACATCATAAAAATTTCAAAATTAGCTTAAAATAAAGGAGAAATGAAACAATTATGACATTCGTGATAGTATTAGCTTGCATCTCTTTCAAAGTATTGCATGTCTGTTCTTTCTCCGTGACAATGTTAACATAAGCAAACAAGACAAACAACATAATAATAACATGAAAGCAGAAAAAAAAAAACCAAAAAAAAAACCAAACACACACTCATAACTGATACTCCTCTGTCAAGCCTAGTATTGATGACCTGTACAGACAACAAGCAAACAGTCACAAGTTATTGCGTAGATCATAAGTTTCAAAGACCACTTGAGTAAATGAAGCAACTGATGAATAATAATTGTCTACTAGCTACAGAATGTGAACAACTGGATGTAAAGACATTCAAAGCCATCGTGGGCCAGTCAACTACTTTGTACAATTGAAAACAAAGAAAGCATTGTAGTGACAGTTTTGTGTGCATAAATTACAAGAAAGTCTAGTGACCACACTTTAGACGATAAGCACATATTATGACATATGCTTTGTGCCATTCGCACTTTTCATACAGGGCAGACAATTGTTTCTCACCTAATTCCAAACAGACATAGTAATACAAAAGGGAATAGTTATGGTGCATATTATTTGTAATTATGATCTCTTAATGTACACATGCACAAACACATATATTCCTGCACACATAATTCTCTCTCTCTCTCTCTCTCCAATGTATAACCATCCAAAAACAATTACGCACACTTAAACTCGTAATGTACCATGCAAAGCTGCACCATACGTTCCTTGGCTAGTTTAAAGACACTCAATTGTCCCTCTTTCTTAATGGAAACAGTTCGCACCTTAACTCATTATATTTGAAAACTTAGTGTAGCTTCTTCTACCCTGTGGTGTTAATATTTAAGGTATTTTGACAAATTTAAACTACAAGTGTTTTTTAATAGAAAAAAAAATAAAATTAGTCACAGGCTGGTACTAAGAGTTGACAAGTGCCCATGCAGAAGTTCATCATAATAATAAGTCTGGATGCAAACAGAACCAAACTGAGCACTTTGTGCAGTGTAGATGTCAAAGTTACTTGTATTCATCACTTGTACTGGAGTATATACACTTTTGGCTGACTATACTGTAGATATTTTGTGTGTGGGTAGGAATATGCACATGTTACATGTACACCCACATACATTACACTTTCATTACTAGATTTCTTCATCTATGACTGTTCCCAAGATACTGACACTGCTCAGTTAGTTTTGAAATTCATATTCAGTAATGGAACAGTGAAATCTGGCAAAGCTGAAACTGAAGATCACATGTTCACTAAGATTCAAATTGTAAAGCATGTATTTCATGTGTAACCAGTCGAGTAAATTAAAGCAAATCAAATGTAACAGCTACGAATTGTACCTAAGAGATAAATTACTGGTAAGATATAGCAAACATCAATAAGTATTTAAGAAAAATGTGCTTATACAAAAATACATCAAGGTAAAAGTGAAGAGGAAATGTGTGACAACTTTTGAAACAAGCAGTAATGGTGGTAAAAAACAGCCCTTTTTATAATAAGATCAGAAGCGGAAACACATAATTGTAGAGATTACAGATGTGTGTGCCAAGCAACACTAGAAACACATTCAAATATTCATTTCAGAACTAGCACTTATATTTACATGAGTTTTATTCATTTTTATCAACCTGCTAATTGTTAAAATGGAATCCAAACATTCATAAACTTGTATACAGAATTAAAATTTTCATAAACCAGGTAACAAAATTCATTTGAAGAAAACTGTTTTGTGATAAAAATAACTTGAAGATACAGAGAAGCCATGGTAACCCATAATGAAACAATCAAATCAAACTGACAGTAGAGAATGATAACAAAAACTAATATCTTCAAACATATAAACAATATTTCAGACCTAGCTAAGAATTACATTTAAAAGTCTATGACAAGACTCCACCCATTCAAACTTAAACTGCAAAATTCTTGGTGCTAAGAATTGGATAAATAAAGAACATTTGTGCACACTTTTTATTTTGAATGACTTCTAGAAATACTGCTGTTGTAAACGTCGTGTACATTATACATTGCACAAATCCACTTGTATATGCTTGTGTGGGTGGGTTGTCCAAATGCTGGAAGAATATTAATGATTATGAATAAATAGCAGATGTAACAGTAATGTTGTGGTCACATATTGATGGTAATGGTACTACTGGTGACGAGAATATCCCTGTTAATAATTGTGCTCTACACAAATGAGATTGAAAAGCACAAATGATAATTACAGTGAAATAAATATTGGTATGACAGATTATTTTTGATCTGAGAATCACACACTGGATATATTTATTGTGATATAAATCATTCTAACAACTGGCTTGTGATGAACAACTTGGTCAAGAAATGGTCTTTGATGCATTCTGCCTCAGAAAGACTCTTATGTTCAGTAAGCTCATGTTTTCAAGACTGGGAAATATTCACATCATTCTCCATTCCCTAAATACAATTGTTATGGACTAAGGTTTCAGGAAATATTGAACGTCTATAAAACATTTCCAACTACCAACTGAAGCTAATTTTGTTGTATATAAAGTAGAATGGTTCCTGTGATGCATGTTTAAAGCCTGCAATAGAAGCATATTGTCACATAATTCCTAAACTTTCTGCTATGAATGAAAATATTCTTCTCCCAAAAGAACTAAAGACTTCCAATCCCCTCTGACAATATAGGCAAAAATCTGAAAACTGGTAGATATCTAGATGTAGCAATTATAATTTCATTCAATTCTTTGAGTCTCAGAGGGTTTAAAATCACAGGCCCAAGTGGTAGTCATGAGAGACGTAAAATCGGCGCATTTGCGTTCATTGGGCTTCTAGGCAGTAACTATGAACGTATCATGCGCACCTTGGGACTCAAAGAGTTAAACCCTCTGCTGATAGAAGTACATTTTATTTAGGTTTTCTAAATAGATTTTAAAACAGTTAAACAAAATCTGTAATCTGACAAAACCATTTACTGTTCTAATGGAAGCATAATACACTACTTGGTTATCAAATTAAAATTAGGAATTTGTTGCACTAATTACTGTCACTAAGAACAGTTTTATCTGCACTCTGGGAACATCCATAGATTTCAATACCAGTTGAAAATGAGTATATATGAACTTTAGAGATTATACCATTCTAGGTGAATTTTTAACATAATTAAACTGTAGAAAAACTGGCCGAAGTATAGAGGACATTTTTGTTGCATGTTCCTTATATAACAAGCTACATGAGTTAAATTGTTTCATGGAGCAGCTTTGTCCATCAGGGAAATTAACTGACACCAGGGGGAGTCCCAATCTTCAGCAGGCAGACAGACAGAGATCTGTACCAGAGATTTACAATGCTAAAGGGGAAAAACATCACACTCTGGACATAGACAGAAAATATCACAACAGAAAACTGACTGAAAGAAACCCTAGTATATGAGATCTGAGGGAGACCAGACGGAAAGAGACTGGAATGACTCAATGTCAAAACCGTAAATTGATCCAGGATGAAAGTGAGAGAAACCAAAGAGTGATTAAGCAAGACTTTGGAATTATTTTAGTAGCACTATTGCTGGTTACAGTAGTGTGCCTTGGTAAACACCTTAATAATAGATTTAGAAAAAGAATTATCATCAGTTTAAAAACAATTACAGAATAAATTCACTACCACAATGCATTCAAAACCTACAAATGAAGGTAAAGGTAAAGTCGGGAGATGTG